ATTTTACACTTGCACTAATGCTTGCACTCCCCAAATACATAAATATCCATACCCACAGCCTTAAGAATTTAACCAAGCCGGGATTTAATTGTGTCAGGCATGATCAGTATAAGCTTTGAAAAAGTTTGTTATCTGAGAATCACAGAAATTAAAGCTTGAAAATATGTAAGACAATATCATATACATTCACATTATTTTAAAGATTATGCATCAAAAGTTAGGAGGCTAAATCACAAATCATCTCTAGGGACTGATTTAGTTGGCAATGCATCTGAACAGTTTTACAGGATGTTCACAGGAACAGAGCCTTCTGAAGCATGGCTTCTTGACCTCCCTGATTCTGAAATACACTTGACTTGTAGCCTCTCGAATTAATATGCATCCCATCATCAGTGACTCAGAGGAGTTGATTATTGGTGTGTTTTCCTTCACAGTGGAGTCTTTTAAAATCACATGCTACAACTGTGTGGTATTGAATTTGAAAGCTTAGGTTTTGTGTTTCAGCATATAAAACTGAAATATGAAATCAGAAATATGGGTATGGAACCAATTAAAGGAATAATAATTTAACATTAACTTTCCACAATATCATCAATCAATAAGTCATACAGTAGCATTATAGCCTGCAGATGAGGTTCGTCCTGGTTATCTGATATAACATCCTTCATAACTTGTGTATACCAGTGTTTCTCATATTTGAATAGCTAGTATATTCTTTTAAAAGACTTCTTCACATAGAAATTTACTCATGGCATAATTTTACTTAAATGTGCTAACATCAAACTAATTATGCAATCCCATATGCTTAAAGAACTTAAGTAAACACAAAACAAAAAGAAGGCAAATGAAAATACAACAGGCAAAATATCCCAATTTACAATCTTAATTAATACAACAGATGATGTTGCATTATTGAAATCCAACCCAATCTTAAACATGAATTTGTTTATGACTATTTGTCAATACTGGTCTCAAAGTACTGGGTGCTTATGGTTCCCGAGTGTGCTCAAAGGTGATGTCATCATTCCATATCTCCAACTGAAGTATACAGCATTTTCTTAGCCACATGCCACAATATAATTTATCTTTGGACAAATTTTGTATTTGTTGACTTATGAGATTCTTCCTTGTTTGCTCAAAATAATGAAAGCAATAATATTCGACTTCAGTATAATTCCCAACATCAACATAAACCAAGAATACAAACACAGAAAGCACTAAGTCACGCTTTATTTCATTATATGGGTTTACATTTCACCCAAAATATTCTAAGACGCGATCACTGAGCTCCTGACATACGAATTTTGTTAGTGTGTTTTTCCAAGGATAGCTAGCATAAATATAAACTCAGCTAACAGAATTCAGTTAAAGCTGAGTGACTGGGATCCAGAAGTAAATCTAATTTGCGGATCATTTTGTTGAGATCCATAAAGTTATCTATACATAGCCAAATCATATATATATATATATATATATATATATATATATATATATATATATATATATATATTGATGTCTATGACAGTCCATGGAGGCTGAAACACGCGGCATCAGCTAACAGCAGGCAGACTGGATTCTCTCACTTGAATCCAGGGAAGGAATCAGGGCCAAGGGGTTGGCCATTGGTCTTCTCTTTACCTGCTATCTTGGTTTTATATGTTCAGATAACAGCATTTTCCTGACATTGTGTGTGAGCCAGGCACCCTTGAAGCAATGTCCAGCGCAGAGCAGCAGCCTGATGTTTGGACCCCAGTCAAGCAAACCGTGATACCAGCAAGGAAGGAGCTGTATGAGTGAGTGCAAGCACAAAGAACAAAGAGTCTTTTTGGTTTTTTGTACTTGTTTTTTTTTTGTTTGTTTGTTTGTTTTGTTTTGTTTTGAAATGCGATCTCTCAAGGGGGAAAACTGAACTAACGTGGGTCAACAGTAAATTATATATTTTAAAATGGAAATTTTATATTTAAAATTTTAATTACTTTTTTCCAGCTACAGTTGGCAATTGAGCACAAGGGATGTTAATTAATCTACAAAATATTTTTAAATAACTTGTGAATAAGATATATTGATTCTGCATATTTATAATAGGCAGTTATATACTTAAGTCTTACCCCAGGTGTTGTAGGGAAACTTCATATTTTAAAAGCGAATGTGGCATAGCTCCCTAAACAACACAAGCCAAAAGAATTACCCAAAGTCAGGATATCAGGCTAGTTTTTAAGTAATAGAAATTGACACCATTACTTTAAATCATTGTTGTAAAACTGGTGCCTGTTCTCTAGATGACCAAAGCCTTATTTTCTACATTAAGTATTTAATAAAAAATAAATTAAAAAACCCTTCATGCTTACTTGTTAGTTAAGTCAAAAGCCATATTTTCCACAATAATGTGTCTTTTTCCTGAATATTGAGATTGCTGTAGTGGTAAAGAGTCTGCTAGCAACCGTGATTATAAAGAAGAGTCATTAGTTTCATTTCAATAACTCTTATGACTGTTAGCGGTAAATTTCTTCAAATTATGGGTATACAAACTTGGTGATCAAATTGAGTTAATTGTTGATTTTGATAAGGGTTTATTCATGTATAAAGAAACAATACATAGATATTCATACACACATCTGACACTTCTTTATAACTGCTAGCATCCAACCTTCATGAATTGGTAGTAATTCTATGCTGTTCTCTATAATTTAAAATCAGGATTCCATGTGACCAGGGCCTCACTCCCTTACATCAAGGATGCAATTGGAAAAGGTGAACTCTTCTGATGGAAACGTGATTCCTGCCAGGGATGTGGAGGTTTTTCACTCAAGTGTGTCTGTTTGAGGAGGAATACCTTGAGAATTCAGGTAAAACCACGATTTCTCATCATAGAAATCTTCGGATGCTTTAGCTGTCGAGGTAACTTCCTAAAACTCAATCAAATGATGCAGGAAGTAGATTAACCTTGAGTTTTGGTCACTCGGCATTATCTGAAATTTTGTGTATAAATAAACTATAAACATTGACAGTGCAACTATGTGTTACTTATGATTATATATTTATGAGTGTGCATGGTATGTTCATGCATCTGTGTTAGCATGCTAAACACATTGCATGCATGTGTGACTCTATAGTGTATATATATATATATATGTATATATATATATATATACATTTCACCTAGAAGCTCAGTAAGACATTTGACACAGATGCTGTCTGCTATTTATTTCATGAAACAATTCCGGTAAATATTTCTCATTTTCTAAATTAGACTGTGATGCAAAGATCTGAGAGTAACAACGGAAGTATTCTAAGTAAATAATATTTGCATACAACCCTAGCTTGCATTATTTTGATTTATGCACTCAGAAAAAATAATTACACATGGCCCGATCTTATATGGTGTGTCTTCATTTTCCTGAGAAGTGTCCTTGCTCTGTCCTGAATAAGTTACCCTCTCTAACAACATTTTCTAAAACTTCAGATGCATGCTTATGACTCTGCTATCCTCCCAAGTGAAGTTTGCAGAGAATGTCTAAACGCCCTATTAGTAAACAAAATCAATTCTGTCGTGAGGCAAGCAGGAGATGGATTTAATTTTTGAAAAAAAATATTTTCCTAATATGATTGTCTTCATTCTATGTTCTGTATATTTTTGGATGGCCTCCTTCCTAGAGCACAGAAGTTTTCTGAGTTTCTATTTCTCTTTCTCCCAAGACTTTCAGACTCCCCCAAGTGGATATCAGAGAAATTTAGTCTCTAAATAACAGACACTTCATAACGAGTTTTAATCAATCTGCATCAAGTATGTTCTAATTGAAGCATGATACGTGGAAATAATTCTTTTTTGATAAATCTATCACTCCCCTGCTATAGCTTATAATTTACTCACGTGACTACCACCTGTCTTATCACGACATCCCATTTTATCTTCATTGGAAAAGTGAAATCAAACTGTCAGATTCATTTAAGCACCATATCACGGCTTACGGGGGTCATTGCTACAGAAAATTCTGTGTATAGGAAACAAAAACTGGACCATATTTGTATAGTTGACCCATTGATACACGAGATAAACACAGCTATATCAGACTGCAGTTTACTCTGACATAGGGGCATCAGAATGTCTGGAATCTGCTTTAACCAATTAAGCCTTTCAAGGCAAAAGGAAAATAAAGCCTTCAGTAAATCCATTGAAGGCACCATCTAGCAGCCTCCCATGCCTGGTATCGATCTTCTTAAGTGCCGACTAATGAGTCCTATGGTAGTAGCAGATCTATGGTGTGTGTATCTGATGCGGTGCCCTCACTCCACCGACTCTGAGGAGCTAAACTTACACGGAGAGAGGATCACCTGGGAGGGGTTGGGGGAAAAGCAGCCCTGGCTGATGGCTGCCTTGACCCTTTAAAGTCCAGCCCCAATTTGTCTCCGCTAAAGGCAGCAGACCCCATTCCCTACTTTCCTTGACAAACGCAGTAGTTTGTGTGCTGGAGGTTTTCCTTTCAGGTCGTTTCTAGGGCGAAGGCTTCTGCTTTTGTTCAGCACCTCTTTTGCTCCGGAGCTCCTGGCAGCAGCTTCTCTTGCCGCAAAGCATCCTTTTTTCTCTCAGCTTTGGCAATTTAGGAAGAACTGATGCTCTCAGGGGAGGTGGATGAGGGGAGAGCGCCAGGAATGGGAACACATCCATCAGGAGTCCCTGCGTCTCCCTGCTCTCCACATCCACTCGCGTCGACAAAATTCCCCTCCCCCAAGCACATAGCACTTGTGATATGTGTAACTGGGGGCGTGGGGGTGCGGGGCATTCACCCTCCATACCAAAGATGCATCAAAGCGCAGACTCCCATAAAGCCAAACCCAGCGGCACCTGGCACCTGCCCCGATTCGCTGCAATTGGAAGCGGACGGCTTGGGTACTGAATTATTAATTTATTTATTTCCCTCGCGCCCCCGCCCTCATCCCAACCCGCAGAGCAGAAGCCACGGTCGCGTCGATTTCCCCACCACCACCCCCCCCACACACACCTCCGCCCGCACCTCGCAGGAGTCTCGCACTTGTAACTGGCCGTCGCCTCCCGGCCCCTGGCGGTCGCGACGCGCTCCCACTCGTGGCCAGGCTGGCGCGGCCGTGGGTCCCGGCGGCGGGGGAGGCAGGGGGGAGGTGGCGGGTGACAGATGTACTCCTCTGACAGCTCTCAGTATCAGCCCAGTGGCTCCCTGCCATTGGCTCAGTGCGATGGACCGGCAACGCCGCACACTATAACACTCATGCCTGCCAGCGGCAGCGACTGCAAGTGCGGGCGCCCAGCGCGGGGGATGCTGTGGCCGCTGCTACCGCCGCGCGGGCGGCTCCCGTTGCCCGGCTGCGCCCTACAGCGCGGGCTCTAACCGCTCCCGCTCGGTCCCGCCCGGCCCGGCCCCCTTCTTGGCCGCATCCTCCCGCGGGGCTCTACGTCCCCGCTCGGATCGCCAGGCGAACACTGCGCCGGAGCCCGGGCGAGCGCGGCCGGCATGCGGAGGCGGCGGGGCGCGCGCCGCAGCCGGGCATAGGGAACCTGCGTGCCCGCCAACAGCGCACAGCCAGCCGCTCGCCCTGCCGCGATCCCCAGCCCACCCTCCCGGCCCCGGCTGCGGCTGCGGGCGCGGGTGCGTGGAAGCGGCGGCTGCGGAGGAGAGGCGGCGGCTGCCCCATGGAGTGTTACTACATTGTCATCAGCTCCACGCATCTCAGCAACGGACACTTTCGCAACATCAAGGGAGTTTTCCGGGGCCCTCTCAGCAAGAACGGGAACAAAACTCTGGTAATCTCTCTGTGTGTGTCTGTCTCTCTTTCTGTGTCTCTGTGTCTTTACTGTCTCTCATCTAATAGTGCATATCTGAAGAAATGAGTTGACTGAGGAGCTTTCGCGATTCTGTTTGATTTGCAAAGCATTCATTTATTTCGTGTATTTATCTGATGGGCGTGGGATGAGACTCGGGTGTAGGAAAAGGAAGGAATCTCAGCAAAGCTCTGTTTGAGGTTTTTTTCCCCGACACTTCATGAAGCTTTCTGTCCACAACACTCCACATGCTGAAGATTTATCAGTCCTTCCTTATTTCAATAGGACTCTCTAAAAATAGAAAAGAGCCTTAACCCCAAGTGATCCCGTGGCACCTTTCATTTTAGGCAGCTGAAGGTGAACGATGGTGTGGGTGTCTATGGTGAAAGAGGGAGCCAGTGTGGCTGGTGGTTTAGGGCAAGAGGCTGGATTGAGTGGGGGTCTCAAAAAAGAGTTCCTTTCTTGGCTCTTAGCTTTTGGCTGAAGGACGGGCAGATAGGAAACTTCTCTTCTAAGTTGTCTGCACTAAGCTAAACAGAAAGATCCCATCAGTCCAGGCTGTCAGCTTGTCACTCTGTAGAGTTTAGGGGCATGGGTGGAAAGGTGATCACTGTATCACTGTTACAGCCAGTAGAAAACATCTTAGAAAACAAAATCCACACAGCTCCTCTCACTGGATAGCACAGCTTGGCTTGCCCTTCGGCATCCAGTAGGAAAAGCACTCTTGATTGGTGGAAGATGTGCTGAGCATAGAGACAGTGCAGGAAATAGCTCCAACGTTCATTCCATCCAAACTGTATCGCCACGAAGCCTCTTTACAGGACCAACTCTCAAGAGCAAGTGTGTCTGGAGAAGTCCGCACTTCTTCAAAGGAAGAGAACAGTAGCATGGGGGCTCTTTAGTATGCTTACTACAGAGTTCAGCCAGTCAGATGGTAAAAGTGTATGACTTTGTGAAGTCTGTGCTCGCTGGCAAAATTTTCCCTAATTCTCCCAGTACTCGCTTATCTGAGAGCAGAGTAGTTCAAGGACACACTTATCTGAAAAGCAAGTGTGGTTTTCTTAATATCATTCTCTATATGTGTCTACATAAACCAAAAGAAATAAATTGCCTAAGAACTTTTTTTTTTTTTTTGAGGATGAAAAGTTCTCAATTGAAGTGTTCAGTGGATTCAGACTCCCACAGGATGAGTTTGCTTACCCTTTTCTTGGATATGTACTGCCAGCTTTTCGGTGATTTACACACAAGAACACAGGCTTAGTTTGATATCTTTGTTATTCAGGATGTGTTTATTTCCTGTTTCTTTGCACAACAGAGCATACACCGCAGACTTCTGTAGTTGAGTATTGCGGGGTAGTAAAAGTCTTGAAGAATTACTGAAATGGTCTGGGATCTACTTACAGTTTGGCGAACATTTTTAAAGAGAAAAACCATTTCTTCCACACATTTGGCTTTACTCGTTTAACCAAGTTTAATTTAAGGACAAGCAAAAGAAGGAGGATTTCCAAGGTGTAGATGCTAAGACACTCAAGAGTTCAGAGAAATGGGCAGTTATTTGAGAAGCCTGCACTTGTTTCCATGCTGTTTCTTGTGCCTCTTCCACCTCCTTGGGCTTTCCAGTGACTCCGTTAGCTAGTGATCACTTATTTGCTGTGCAATTGCAGCTCTTCATCACTCATGTTGACAAAGGGCAGGTGAAGAGCGGGTTTTGTCTGTGCAAAGTCATGGTGAAAATGGGCACATTAAAAACAGCCACCTAAATGAGATGAATAAATCAAAATACATGTAAGTGTTTGAAGCAACCAACAAGGATATACACTCTGAAATAAAGCTCATAATGTTTCTCATAACTATAAGGTAGGGGTGAATCTTGGGGTGATCATGACAACCCTGCCCTGTCTGTATTTGCTGGGTGTGAGTTTCATGCTGACATAAATGCAGGGTATGCTCACATTAGTTTTCAACTATTTAAAGCTATTTTTTATAGAATATATGTGTTCTAAATGCTTTGGGTGAGTTTTGCCAGTAGGAGAAATGAGAGACCTGTGTTTGTCTATAACTATAAAGAGAGTCTAAGTATATCAATGATGGAATTATGTTAATTAATAAAGATTAGTTCATACTTATATAATGATATCATCTTGACAGCAACAAAAATTCTTTGAGCCCCACTATATGCTATTTTATTCAGATCAAAATAGATAATTTGACCTGAAGTTTAAAAAGTACTCACTTTCATATGAAGCAGAGATATTAACTTAAAATGGACATATACTATGTGACATAAAATTTCAAATTGATATTAATGCATATCATATTTTTTGTTTTACTTCTTTAGTTTTAAGGTGATAAGTTGTTTGTGTTAAGTATATTCAGTATTTTAAAATCTACATCCATACAGTAATAATCAAATCACAAATATTTAAACTCTTTTATATTTGAATTTCATGTAATAAATTTTTCCTCTAAGATAAAGGAATTTTAATGACGACCATGTAAACAACTGTTTTTTTTTCTTTCCCAAGGAGATAAAACCTAAAGCCACAGAAAAACAATTTTGATTTTCCCCAAGAAATTGAGTTATTTTCAATTACTAGTTGGTTAATGAATGCTTTGTTAATTTCTTCAAAGTTCAGATTAAATAAAAGCTATTGTATGACCTTACAATAATTCTGAAGATGAATTTGCTCTGTAGAGCTTTGGATATGGAATGCTATCACAAATGAAAGTTACATCTGAACAACATGTCCCATTTGCTAAACAATTTCAGTGCCATTGGCTCATCGCTTCCCTTAGGAATGAAAGACCACATTTATGTTAATGAATTAGATAGTCACTATGGGGAGAAGGGCAGTCAATAAATTAGCTTATTTTCTTAGTAAACCTGGAACTTCCTCTATCAAAAATGGCAGATGTTCTAAAGAACTAAAAGCTTGGTGAGAAGTTGTGGTTTTCTATGCATCTATTTATCTGTTCTCTATCTAACATCTATCTATCATCTATCGGTCTATCTATCTATCTATCTATCTATCATCTATCTATTTATCTTCTATTGATCATCTATCTATCTATCTATCTATCTATCATCATCTATCATCTATCTATCTATCTATCTATCTATCATCATCTATCTGTCATCTATCTATCTATCTATCTATCTATCTATCTATCTATCTATCAATCATCTATCTATCTATCTATCCCACTGTAGTTCCTGCATTTGGCATTCTTGAACTTATTCATGAACTTTTCCAACTTAAGAATCTTAATGAACATGAAAAGCCTCCATTTTTGTCTTACAAAGTGTTAAGAAAATGTTTTACTTGTTATTCTGTCTGTGACAAACTGCATCATCATCTCTCGACAGCTTACTTTTATGGAACAAGAAAATAATCTTTTATTAGTGATGCTGTGATCTTTTATTATATTACTGTTGATAAAGCAGAGAACTTAATGATCTTGAACAAACATTATGATATATATATTCTATTTTAAATTTACATGAGCAACTACTGTTGGAATAAAAATTCTTTATTAATAGATTTTTGCAATTGGTCAACAGAAATTCTTTGACCTACTTTTACATTTTAAATGTTTTAATGTATATCTAAATATATAATATACATTTATATGAAATTTCAATGCAAAGTATGAGTTTTGACTTAGGAATCTTAGTACCATCATTAGTTTGCTATTACATTCTGTTAATTGCTTAGAATATTTATGTCTCAACTAATATTTTAATATTTCTGAATTAAAAAACTAAAAATGAGCCAATGACAGTGGGAGGTCATTGTTATGGAGAAGATTTTATGACATGTCTTAATTATAAAATTTATAAGGACCAGTGTGATAATATGTAAGAGAAAGTGTTGCGTCATATTTAGTTGAAGCCATTTTACTTTTCTTCTTCTCTTCAAGTACAGATAAATAGTGATTAATTAAAAATATGAATTTAGGTGTATTTTACTTCTTATCCTCAAGTGGACAAACTCCCCAATTTTCATCAATGCCTTAGTTCTGTAGGATGACCAACATTTTCGATATAGGAAGTACCAGGTTCAGTAGGACTTAATGTATTGATTGATCTTCACCATAGTTGTTGTTTAATTTATTCAGCTTCACGGAGAAGCTTCAGCAGCTCTGGACTTGTAGAAACACCAATGGCTCTGTGGTTCATGAGGCGAATATGGTATCTCTCCAACACTCCTGCCCATTTTGCTTCTGCTTTAAAACATCTTCCAATCTTCTTGACAAGTTTACAAGTTTCTTGTTACCCAGTATATTTTCCCCTGCGTTAATTTGACATGCAAAATTTTTGGTTATTTTTTATATTTTTGTGTGTATATAGTAGAAATGATAA